TCTGCAGATGCATCTCCAGTACTGTCGAGGTGTTGCTACTTATCACCTATGTTCTTTTTATTACTAGTATTATTATGGTACAAATGATGAGCGCATGACGCAGAACGTGGGCCAGTGTTGTAGTTGAATTGTAAGGGAATAAACAGTTTGTTGGGTACTTTTTTGGAATTTTCCAAGATTTAGGGCATTTCCATTGGTTTTTCTAAGTGAGGACATTTTTGTTGATTTTCCCAAGTGTGAGGACATTATTCTTTGATGTTTTCAAGTTTGAGGGCATCTACATTGATTTTTCGAGTTGCGCGCGTATAATTCCACTAGCCCCCACACCCTTCTCTCTTCCCCGTCCAGATGTGAGGGCATTTTCAGAATTCTGAAAGTAAATGTGGCTCACACAACCCAAAGGAGCCTCTTATAACAGGCAGTCCAAATATACATTTTATTACCATATACACCTCCTGGTCCTCATGACAAAATTATCTTTTTGGTTAGTTTTTAAACTCTCAAAATGATATTCTTAGAAAATGTCCAAATCTGACCATCACTCCTATGGAGCTTACAGAATAACAGCAAAAACTGTCATCACGAAAACCAAGGAGTGTATGTGCTCTAATAAAATAGAACATCGGTGATAAGTAGTTATATCCTCATAATACAGGAGATGCATCTTCAAGTGACCCTTAAAACAAAGATAATTCGTCAAAATCATCAAACAGGAAAGATAATCACACCTCAGCTTGTATATCTGTAATTAAAGGCACTACTGCTCCAGCTGCACCCAGCCTGCTCATGCTAAGGACCTGAGGTCAACAAAGATAATAAATTTCAAAAGAGAACAAAACTTTGAAAGTTGAAACTTGAAAGGTTTTGAAGTATATGATTTATTTCAAACCTTGACTTGTAGCTGAAGGAATTTGACATAATCTATGATTTCATCGAGCATTGATGCCTTGTCAGTCTGCATATAAACAGGTGGAAGAGTTCAGCCACTGAATGGTAAGCAGCCATCGTCGACACTCGACAATAACAAAAACAAAGCTTTATCCTAAACAATTAGAGTAGGATAAGTATAATCTTTTCTTTGACTTGGGTTTTTTCTGCTGAATCCATTTTTTATCCTGGGGTATGGAATAATTGATAAGAAACTGAATGATTCTTAAGGAAACTTAATATTTAGACAACTCCAAGAGCTAAATTATAAAAATCTTGTTTTTCATATTACCACGTCATATAGAGAATGAGATAGACATATTAAATATCTGCAATGTACAAGTTACAAGTAGAAAATTAAGTTAAATATGATAAGGATCCGCTTTGTCCCTTGTAACAAGCAACTCCAAGATAAAAGACTATAAAATGTGTATGCAGGCAGGGAGCATGAATAAAAATTACCCCTACAAGTGGTTACATGTTAGTCAACAAACTTAAGAAGTAATGCAAATCTGCAGTATGCTGCTTAAGATGAACAATGTGGTTACAGTGACTTTTTAGATTATGTTTATTAGATTAGCACCTAAAGCATGTACACATCAATGATAGAAACAATCAAAATGAAGGTCAATTGCCCTCAACTAATTCAACTACAGCATCATGTATTAGCACTAGATAATAAAATTATGTGATTAAATCTCGTGTACAGAATTATCAGTCTTAACTCTCATCTTTCCATAGTTCTTTAAGGAAACTACCTGCTCAAGCTGCTAATAGTATGCCGAATTTTTCAAGAGTAAGAATGGAAATAGTTATGCATCTCCATTTGTTGCGAAGAAGGTAATATAATCAGGAGAGAATACACAATTATGTAGAGTCGGTAACGATGACATTATAACCGAGATAGTTGTTTCAATCAAGCTCACTTAAGATTGTCATCTTTCTGTAAACGTTATATACACTGCAGGATATTCTTCTGGTTTTACCAAATTAAACCAGTGCATAGATAGCCTGCAACATTTAAGCTCCATGCTTAAGCATATGCACATGTATATTTCTGTAAACGTTATATACACTGCACGATATTCTTCTGGTTTTACCAAATTAAACCAGTGCATAGATAGCCTGCAACATTTAAGCTCCGTGCTTAAGCATATGCACATGTATATTTATCCATTGATGACAAAACTTTAAAACAACAATGACAGGCAAGTAAAGATTTGATCAACAACCTATGTTAGTAGACAATATCTAAACACACACCTATACCTAGATACAAGTCATAAACGCAAATAATAAATAAACACACACAAATAACTGAAGAAAAATTAAAACTGTTTAAAAAACATGACGATAATATTGTAAGCTTCAAGAAAAGATGGTACCTTATTGGAATTTGGAACAAGTTCCTGCAAATTCTTCATCCTTTCAGCAATTTTCTCTCTCCGAAGCTGCATTTGGGAGTTAAGTTCCATTATAATGTTCATTTCATTATAAATTAAATCATACCCCTTTAAAAGTGGGAGTTCTAATTTTTTATACACTAGGTACCAAATAAAAATCAACTTACAAAAGTAATAGAAATATCCAAAAGACTTTCATAAATTGTATATTAGACTGAAACCCAAAAGACTTCAAGATATTGAAAATTTTGCAGAAAATTTTCTAAATTTTACATAATATTTAGAAAAATCATAGACTTTATCAAATTTGCACAAAAATCCAAAAGAATTTCATACATGTCAAATTATCCTAATTAATAAAAATATTTGTAACATGATTTCATTATGATCATGTTCTAATTAATTGAAATATCTTTAATAAAATACAAGTTAAAGGTAAGTTTTCATCTCCACTTCTCAAGAAATTACAAAATAGAAAGCCTCATAACTTTACAAAAAAAAAATTACCAGAGAAAACATATGAAGATTTGTAATTTCAACAATCTAAAGTTTTAGATTTCATATATATATATATAGAGAGAGAGAGAGGTGAACTTATGTCAACTTAAGTGGACAAGAGGCATTTGTCCACCAAACTTTCTATTCACTCATATATATATAAAAAATCTCTTCATATCTCGCATGGATCCCTAGGTATCATCAATGGATAGAACGTTTGGTGGATGGGTAATTTTTATTTTCTTACTATAAAATAAGTCAGATTCATTTTGATTTAAAATCTATAACATGGATTATTACATTTGTCATAAATTTTATTTAAATATTTCAAAAAAGATTATGAAATAGATTTGTGTGTTAAACTGTGATCAATATACTTTTATATACTTGCATACACAACATTATTTTTTAAATTTGTATATATCAAACTTTATGTAACATATTTGTTTATTGGATCAAACCATTCATCAACCCTGATGGCTACAATAACAACTAGAATCAATCAACCATTCATCAACCCTGATTCACATCAATTCGGCAGATTGTTTCGAGCTTATGCGTTATTATACGTAAACACTCAAAATTTCTTTATAATACTTCCTCCTAAATTTAATTTCTTTCTTTTTTATCACCTTTTTCATTTTTCTGCCCACAAATAAATTCAACAAATAAATCAATTATGTCTACAATGCAATTATAGTGAAAATATAAGCTTAAAAGAAAATAAAAATATTTGAGCACGTGCAACGCATGTGAATCCCAATTAGTACTTGCAGGTTTGAAAGTTAACGAGTTATGATCCTCAAAAAGAACATTATAGACTAACCCGTTCAGCGATGCTATGAGGATCAGTGGCCTGACCACGTCGTGCACGGACACGTGGCTTTGTAGTCCCATTGCAATTACCATTATTAGCTGGAGTTGCTTGGTGTTGAATAGAAGAGTTGCTTGTTTGATTCTTCAGGATATTTCCTTCAGTGGATTGCGCCAACTAAAATATGAAAACAGAAAAGCAAGATCATCAACATGGAAAATAAATAAGGGGATTATGCAGAGAAAATCATAGAATATCATCCTAAAGTTTGTAGGAACGACAGAAAAGCTCCCTAAAGTTTTGAAGCGAACACTTTCACCCAATCCTTTTAATTTTTCCATCAAATATGATTACAATAGCAAAAGTCCTCTATCTCTTCTGTCAAGGAAAGAACCAAGTGCGAGAGCATTTTGTAAGTAAATGGGACACATGATGCCCATGTGACCTTGGCTCATGGAAAGATCAAAAGGAGGAAGGTGACAGTAGTATTAGTTTTAGAACTTCAGGTGGGTTTTCTGTCATTCCTACAGCCTTGAGGAAATTTCCCAATTATTCACATGACCAAAGAAGTCGAAGTAACTAAGTTTAGAACCTGTTGGCAAGCTTGTACTCCAGATGATTTACTCAAATTTAATAGTGACCCAGCAGTGAAAGACGGCAAGTGAAGGTTATTCACCCCATTTTGCTCCTGTATTGCATGAGCATTAATTAATCCACAAATGCTACCATACGTAAATGAAAGAAGGTCAAATATGTTGTACCTCTTGATGAGGGTGCAAGCCACCATTAGTCATCTTCATTTGTTGCAAAAGATTGAGATTAGAGAAATTGGTCGAGTTTATCCCATTGCAACCCTGCAGAAATTTTTATAAACTGAGTTGATTACTGTTCTTATTTTGTAACAAAATATAGACACTATCTGAAATCAAATATCAAACATTTATGTGTCGAGATGCAGCAGCAGCAGAATTGTCGAGATGTGGATGCTTGCCATTCTCAATATAGGTTTTACCCAATTCATCAGCATTACTTTCAACCCCTTGAAAGCCAAAACTTTCTAGTTTTCCTTGTTCCATAAAAGGAGAAATGCCTGAATATGATGGAGGCCACATTGATGGAACTGAAGAAATAGAGTCAAATTTGGATGGTTCACTGCCATTGCTTTCAATTGAACTGGACACAGTTAATGCACTATTTGGAAGCGTCACAGAGCACGATGTATTTAATTCCCGTCCATATGATCCAGAGGTAGATTTGCTTTCATATACATCCTTGAGCGAAAAATTGTTTTCATGGGTCTCATTGCCCATGATATGTGCATGAGCATGGAGATCCAAATGTCCAGCTGCAACATTGCTCATGATATGAGGTGAGGAAATCATGCACACAGGTAAACTTTTTTCATCTCCATATGCTACAATTGAATCAGTAAGTAAGCCATTTGACTGAGATTCAATAGATCCACCCCATGATGATCTTGAAGATGCATTAACATGATCTGACCATGATGATGACGAAAGGAAAGGATCTATAAAATCATCCATGATCTTCTAATGATGAGAACAGAACATATAACTTCTCACCAAAAATCTACCAATTTCTGGATTTGTCTTGATTTTGGACAGGGAGATGTGCCCACTAGAATCTCCTTCACATTCTTCTCTTGGCTCCTAGCTTACATAAAAAGTAACAAACATTAGCTTTTCATGGATAATCACAGACCATTTTCACAAAATAGTTTGTCTAGTTTAGTATAAGACCCTCATTTAAAGAATAAACCCCATGCCACAGTAGTTAATTCTCTAGGTAACTTATAAAAAGACCTCTTGAGATTCACATGATTTGTAGAAATATCCCCAAGTTTTTAAAAGTGACAGCTTGAACCCTTCATTTCATTATTTAAAGTTAATTAGGATGTAAACATCGAACATGACAATTTTCTCTATGCTTATATAAGCATGCATTGTGATTAATTTATTCAAAGTTGAAGATAAGTAGGGGGTTAAAACCACTTTTAAAACTGTAAGGGGATCTTTGTCTACAAACAATAAGGCGATTTCTGTAATTTACCCAATTATAATAACCAACGAAGTTACCATTTTTAGTAGTCTACAATCTGTTTATATAAGATGGTCTTCATTCAACTACCTAACTTCCATTAAAGGGATTCTTCCATTAGTTCCATTTAAACTGCTTATAAATTGGAAAGATGAAATGACGACTAAATCATAGCTTGATGAGATATATACTCCAACAAATCGAGCAAAGAGAATGAAATTCTTGCTTCCACACTGTATTTTTGACTTTTTCTTTGAGAATGTATATTTGACTTATTAACAAACAAACTCTGACAGGCCACGCTTGCTTAAGTGAAATTAAGATAATGGAAAATTAATGGATAAAAAAACTGATATCACAAGCAGAGTCCAACGAAAAGCTCCTCTGGATGCAATTCAACATGTGTTAGGTTGATAGGTACAGTCCAATGAACTGCTCATACTTTCATTGGCACATATAAGATTATCATTTTCTTTTTGTTAAAAAGTTAAAATGTAACAAAAGTATAAAAGCTGCCAAAATCCACATAGGTTTCACTTTAGATGCAAACATAAAAATTAATGAATATAAATAAAATAAAGATGGATGCATGTTTCGTCAAGATACAACATTCATTGGAATGTTTAGTCACATGGACTCACAAATATGACACTAACAAATTTTAAAACGTTGAGACAATTAAAAAAAATGCTTCCTTTAGAAACACAATAAGATAGGTCATTATACATCGTACAAACACATATTTCGCTCCACTCCTCACATATTCAGTGAAAAGCAGATCCCATTTCTATACAAAATTGCATCAACACAACGAAAAAAAAGCATGTCCAAGAATTAAAATAAATTTTCTCTGATCTTCATCTAAAAGCCTGTGCTTCCCCTAGCAATAACAACCATACCCCAAAAAACTAACATTTCTTTTAACTACAACCCAATCCTGTAAATAAAAACATCAAATCCAGGGAAACAAAACAGAATATTTAAATCAAATAATTCACGGAGCATTCATTCTCTACTACTTTGATCCATTTAAACCTAACATTTCTCCTATAACAACAAAACCACACCCCTAAACCAAATATTACTTAAACCCTTACCAACAAAAAACACCATCAAATCATCCCTCCTCATGCACCCCAAAGACCATTAAAATGAATTTAATAGCTGAATCATGAATACCCGATCATTTAAACGCCCAGAATTACAATTACCCATAAGAAAAACACGATCTTTACGATGATAGATTCACGAAAATACTTACTGAAACCCTAATATCAGCTAAATAATCAATAAAAATGACCCCTCCCCATTAACAGCTAAACTGGCGAATACCCAACTCATTAAAACTCCAGAATTGCAGTTACACGTTAAAAAATCAAATTTCCTTCAAAAGATCAAAACTTTCATACACAAGGAGAACAAAAGGAGCCAGTTATGCACAACCCACAAATTAATTTTGATGGTAAAATACAATAAAAGAATCAAATAAGAGAGGGGGAGAATACAGAGAGACTCACAGAGACAGCCAAGAGAGCAGAAAACTTCAGAGCATAAGACAGAGATATCAGAAAATGAGAAGAGGAAATTATAAAAGAAACTGTTTTCAGCTTTCTTCGGAGACGAGTGATGACTCAGTGTGGAAGAGAGAACAACTATGTGAGTCTCTTATACACCGTGGTAATTTTTATGTGTAGGAGTATTTAATGAGGCTTTTGTAGGTCCAAAGGCTATGTATAGGATCAAACCAACCCTCTCTACTCTACGTTTGTGGTGTGATTACCATGAGTGAGAATTAGAAAACAAGATGCGTGTAAGTTTTTTTTCCCCCGCTCTTTTTTAACTTTTTAATGGAAAAAATTTTAACTTAAAAGATATGGATTCTCATCCTCTTCACTATCAAAAAAATAATAAACGGACACTATATAATTGTGATCATTAATTATCTAGTCGGCGGTTGTTTTTTCTTTGAGTACAAATTAGGAATGAGTGCAATGCACATAAGTGTGACAGGTGTTAGATTTAGATTGCATCGTAACAGCCTATTAAGTAATCAATAGTTAAGATTAAAAATAGCGGTCTCTCTACTACTTTTTTATAGTGGAAAAAATCTAAATTCAAAAGATATTGATTTTATTTAAGGGAATTTATGGCTCCCATTATTCATTCCATACTCATGTTTATAGTGCATTTCCTTCTTAGACTTGTATCATCAAATCCAAGTTCTAAAAATTCACATAAACTCCTCATGTTTAATAGTGCAGTCTCTGTCAGTTTTAGCAAACAACAAAGCAATTCCAACACAAATTTTTCCTAAAAGGGGTGTTAGTCAATTGGGATATTTTCATGCAAAATGGGATAATTGTTAAAGTGGAATAATTTTTCGCTAGTGGGATATTTTAGTGGGATAAATATGAACAATTTTGTGAAGCGTGATATTTTGATAAAATAACGTGGGATAAATTTTTATAATCATGAAATATATATTTATGTATTTTGAAGATATAAATATTATTTATATATTTTAAAGTTACTATTATTAATTGATAATTGCTTACACGAATGTTCTTTACTATTAAACAACTTTTGGTTAGACTATAAGATATTGATAATTATTATTATAATGATGGTCTAATGATGATGATAACCATAATAGGAAAGAAGTAAAGAAAAAATTAAATATAAAAAATAAAAAATAAAAAAATAAATATGAGTTCTAGTTTTTTACCACCTATTTTCAAATTAAAACTTGGAATAATTTGAGAGACTAGAACTCTCATTTTTTATAGAAAAATAAAAAGTCGGATAATTTTTTACCATTATCTCAATTCTAGTTTTGTTAGAGTTTTACTTGACTAACACTGTAAAATTTTATTCTAGTTTTACTTCTATCTGACTAACACTTAAAAAAATTATCCAAGTTCCAATTTTAACTTCTAGGTGACTAACCCCCCCCCCCCCCCCCCC